ACCTCGTGATCCACCCGCCTCGGCCTCCCAAAGTGCTGGGATTACAGGCTTGAGCCACCGCGCCCGGCCGATTTTGTTCTTTTTTATGGTTACGTAGTATTCCATGGTATATGTGTACCCCATTTTCTTTCTTTTTTTTTTTCAGACAAGAGTTTCACTCTTGTTGCCCAGACTGGAGTATAATGGTACAATCTCAGCTCACTGCAACCTCTGCCTCCCGGGTTCAAGCGTTTCTCCTGCTCAGCCTCCCAAGTAGCTGGGATTATAGGCATCCACCACCACACCTAACGAATTTTGTATTTTTAGTAGGGACAGGGTTTCTTCATGTTGGTCAGGCTTAAATTCCCGACCTCAGGTGATCCGCCCACCTCGGCCTCCCAAAGTGCTGGAATTACAGCTGTGAGCCACTGAGCCCGGCCATATACCACATTTTCTTTATCCAATCTGTCAGTGGCGGGAATTTAGACTGCTTCCATGTGTTTGCTATTGTGAATACCGCTACAATGAACATTCACGTGCCTATGTCCTTATGGTAGAGTGATTTATATTTTGGGGGGTATATACCCAACAATGAAATTGCTCAGTTGAATGACAGTTCTGTATTTTGCTCTCTGAGGAATCACCACACTGCTTTCCACAACGATTGAATTCACACTCTCACCAACAGTATATAAGCGTTCCCTTTTCTCCGCAACCTCGCCAGCAACCTAAGTGGGTATTTGTTTTTACGATCTTGTAGCTCCTGACTTGCAAGGCACCTCAGTCATTCCTAGAACATTGTTAGAGCACTTCTAACTTCACCAGAGGCCAACAAGCCTGGACCTGAGAAAGACAGAAATAATCTAGAAGTCAAAGGATGGGTAAAGTAGATAAACAGTGTCTGAAGACTAAGATCAAATAAATTCATGGCTTTTATAGACCATGGGGGCCAAACAGCTGGTGAGGTCAGCCCAGGTTTGAGAGGTTCAAGGTAAGTTTATCCAGAAACCCCAAGAGGAATTTCTTCAACAAAGATTTAATGAACACCTACTATAGGCCATGCCTTGTGCTAGGAATAGCTGCACAGAAGGAACAAAATAAGCCAAAACTGTTGGTACACAAGGAAAAGATTCTCCTCTGCACATCACTGAGAAGGCAGATCTCGTCAGTTCCCGCCTACCCACCACCCTGGCAATCCGTCCTATGCCACTTTGAAACCCCACACTTGTACGCAGGCAATGGCAGACAGGACTATTAACGGATTCATCTCACTTAGGTGATTCCCCTGACACTTAAGACTTTTCAGGAAACATTCCTGCTACATTTCTATTTTCTAACCCATGAAGAACACTTTTAATAGAAAGTGAATCCAAACCCCCTCCCCAAGGGCCAGTGAGGAAAAAGGCAAATGATAAGAGACAGGAAGAGACAGGCACAGTGGCTGGCCTGTAATCCAGCACTTTGGGAGGCTAAGAGGAGAGGATTGCTTGGGGTCATTTTGAGACCTGCCTGGGGAAGGCAGCAAGACCCCCGTCTCTACAAAGAAATTCCAAAAATTGGCCAGAAGTGGCAGCCTACACCTGTAGTCCCAGCTACCTGGGAGGCTGAGGTTGGAGGATCACTTGGGCCTCGGTGGTTGAGGCTGCAATGAGCTATGATCAAACCACTGCACTCCAGCTCTGGGGAGAGAATGAGACCCTGCCTCAGAAAAAAAAGGGAGAAAAAAAGAAGGTAGGAATGATGGAGGGAGGGAGGGAGGGAGGGCGGGAGGGCAGGAGGGAAAGAAAGAGAAAGAGACAAGAAGGTAGAGACTTCATAGTCCCTAAAGCCTTCTGTACACATTCTGGGAAATCATCACATAATAAATATACAAGACCTTGAAGGACATCTGGGAACAGCCTTCCCATCGTGTGAACTCAGCTACACTCCTCAGAGAAAGGTCAACAGGAAATGACCTCAAGAGACCTTTGACCTCAATCATGTTCACTTAAAAATTACTGAAGTGGCCGGGCGTGGTGGCTCATGCCTGTAATCCCAGCACTTTGGGAGGCTGAGGTGGGCAGATCACGAGGTCAGGAGCTAGAGACAAGCCTGACCAACATGGTGAAACCTTGTCTCTACTAAAAATACAAGAATTAGCCATGCGTGGTGGCGTGTGCTGTGTGCCTGTAATCCCAGCTACTCAGGAGGCTGATGCAGGAGAATCGCTTGAACCTGGGAGGCAGAGGTTGCAGTGAGCAGAGATCGCACCATTGCACTCCAGCCTGGGCAATAAGAGCAAAACTCC